AACAAACACTAGGGTTTCAGAATCCACCCTAAACAATTCCATCCATGTTCATGGATACTCAAGTGATGAACTCTAAACTTGTTGATGAAGATGTTCGCAATCAAGACCATGGTTCGTGGCTCAAGACGCATTGATTCTCTCTAATGTATTTAAAGTGCATGGTTCGTGCTACAATACTTGTGCCCTCCCCATAACCGAACCTAGGTATGGTTCGTACTTTGATTCAATTACAAGGAGAACCCATTAAGTTCAAAGAGAATATGAACATCACAAGAACCCTAATAGCATGGTGTTTACATTAGGTATTCAAGAAACCAATTCACATGGATGATTCTTACTTCATCCATTTATTGCTTAGGATAACATGAGGATACACATAATCCCAACAATCTCAAGAAGCATGCTTTCAAAGGTGATCAATCAAAGAAGAACATACATCAAGGATAGATTAATTTGGTGAATTGGAATTCATCAACAATATCTAGAAATTCATACACTCAAGTATCAAAACAATAAGGTAATCATGTTTAGGGCTTCAACTAGGCCCTAGCTATGGAGTTTAGTTGCTCATACTTATTCCAAATACAAACTCGAAATATAACTAGAATGAGTTTACAGATTTGGAAATGATGAAAGCTTGAAGTCTTCAATGGTGGAAGTCTTCTCCTTTCTTCCTTGGCTGCACCTCCTTCTCCTTCCTTGCTCTTAGCTCCTCCAAAAGCTGCTCTCAAGTTGTGTAGAATGTGGAATAGCCTGATTTCCCACGATCAAAAGGCTCCCAATATCAGATTGCAATTTTGACTTCTCCTCCCTCTCTCCTCCTTTCCAGCTTTTACCTTTTAATATTAAACTACCACCTTTGATAAAGCCTTAGCCCATTGTCCCCTTGCCATGATGGAGCTTTGACTTCATAAAGATGCCAAAAGCTCAGAAAATATCTATTTTACAAATGTAATTCCTTGTTACCAAGAGTTATGGTAACAAGAAGTTAAGATGACACAAGGGAGGTAAAAGCTGGCCAAATCCGGATTTCCAGAACTGTGGTAACATGATGGATTGGTTGGATAGGCAATACTTGTCCAATGGAGCTCAAATTTGGATATGTTGTAGTTAACATCCATTGGAACAAGTCTCATGAAGATCATGACCTCATCCGAGCACCAGAGCATGTTGATCCCAGGCCAAGAAGTTGACCTACGAAAATGAACAAAAACAGAATTTATAACTAATAATGCACTTTTAGCTCATTTTCATCCCAACCAAGGCAAAATCTAAGAAAACACAAAAAGGAAGTAAAAAGCTATAAAATGTCAAGAACTAACTCAAAATAGTGGGTGAATAACATGAAAAATCATGTGTAAAAATGAACCGAACAGCGACAAAATATTTCATCGCGCAAACTATTAAATTAGTTTATTTTAGTTTAAAATTTTCAAAAAATAAAAAAATTTTAAAAAATGAATAATTCGTCGCGCAAACCTTTGCGCGACGTTAACATTCGTCACGCAAAGTACATTTGCGCGACATTAACTTTCGTCGCTCAAAGTTGATAATATTCGTCGCGTAAAGTAATTAGTATTCGTCGCACAAAGTTGTTATTTTCCGTCGTGCAAAATTGTTATTTTCGTCGCGCAAAGTCGTCATGATTCGTCGCGCAAGTTGTTATCCTTCGTCGTGCAAAGTGGCTTTGTGCGACGAAGAATTTTCGTCATCGCGCAAACCCTTTCTTTACGAGTTTTGCGCGACAGAACTTGCGCGACCAAAATTTCGTCGCCCAAACTTTGCGCGACGAAATTTTCCTTTGCGCGACCAAAAATCATTCGTCGCGCAAAGTGTTTTTTGTAGTAGTGCATATAGCTAGTACTGATTATGAGGGAATAGTAACAGTTTGGGATGTAAATACTTGGAAAGTATGTGATGTTACTTACACATTCTGATTTTTTGTGTGTGATTTGAATTTGTGTACTTATTCCCTCAACCTTCAATTTTTGTTGCTCATGCTTAAATTTTCCATCAGAGTGTCATGGAATATGAAGAACATGAAAAACGTGCTTGGAGTGTTTGATTTTTCATGCACAGAGCGCACGAGGCTTGTATCTTGTAGTGATGATGGTAAGGTAGTGTCAAAATCTTTAAAATCTTAAACCAAGTCTTGTATTATGCTTAGGTGATTTGAAATGTAATGCAATACCCGTTTCCTTTTGGAAAAGCAAAGAAACGTTATGCTGCACACTATATTATGTTTCTTCTATTTATTAAAGAGTTATTTACCCTAACACCCCATAGGGGTAAAATGCTATACTCACTATTTGCAAAGTCGAGATGTTGTTAACTATGCTACTAAGTTTTTTGTATGCTTGACTTAAGGGCTGGCAGGTTTAGGCTACCAGAATACGTGATATACGCTTGTATCTGGTTTATGCAGTATATGCAAGTTTGCATATATAGGATGCTAGATTGATGCGTTATGGGTGTAGTATCAATAACTGATCAGTTCTCGTATTTCAGCTGGGAGAAAATAAATTTGTTAATTTTGCTAGAAATTAATGGATTCAGAGAAATATTGATATGTCCTTCCTTCTGTACTTTTGACGTTACATATTGGTTGTCGAATTGTTTAGTATGTTTTAGCAATGCCAATAATTGTGGTGTATGCTTGAGTTAAGGTCTGGCTAACAATACTTAAATATTAGATGCCCCATATTTGGCTACGGTCACAGTTTACCACCTACCCCATCTGCAATTTAATAGCTAACTGTTGAGCATTGTTGTTCTATTTGACAGGCATCATTTCCAAGTATGAAGAAGAGAAGGAAAGGCTCTGCACACGATATGAACAACTGAGTAAGCAACAAAACTCCTTTACTCCTCCTTATAGTGAAATCGAATACACCAAAATTTTCTGATGGGTTGATGTTGTGTCAGGAAAGAAAGAAAGGAGTCTGATATCTGAGCATGAGAAAACTTGTACTGATAAAATTGCTAAACTGGAAGAGTCCTTGAAAAAGAAGAAGCAGGTACTACCCCTCTCTCTCTCTCTTCCTTGAAAAGAAAAAAAAGAAGCTTGTACTGATATCTCCATGTATATATATTTGTGCAAACATGTCTCAAAACCCATTTTCTGTTTATAAACTCAGGATGACATGACTTTCAGCGTTCTGAGAAAGACTCTTGGCTCATTTCTGGAGAGTACTTCAGACGAGGACATCCCAGCTGATGATTGAATGAACATTCAACTGTTTGAGCTCAAGTCTCTAGTTACTTTTTCCCCATAAAAGATGTTACATTTGTTAATACTTGCAATATGATATGGTACATGGTTCTGGTTCTGCCATAGGTGTAAAGTTGAATTTCAGATACAGTACCACATTATTACATGCTGCATGTGCAAAATGTTTAAAATTAGTCACAAATTAATTCACAAATTTTCCTCTGTACAATTTCTAGGCACGCCTCACATAAGCAGTTTAATGAACAAGATTGGCAGGGGGAGGTGGGTGCCCCTGTTGAATAGACCATGGAGGGCGCTTGTTGTGTTTCTACAGATAAAAACATTTCAAATCCAGTCATACATAAGAAACACAAGCAATTGCATTCTGATCTATTTACAACAACTATATACAAATGACAATACATGTTGTTTCAAAAGTGTTTTCTTATTATTCTCCCTTAAAAACAATTACTATTACAAATGAAAGAACAACATGACGTCTATAAATATGAAGCAAAAAAATAGAACTTTCATTATTGTACCCATGTGAAAGTCTACAAATCCCATAACCTCTTCTAATTTTTATTTCAAAGGAAATTTGTCTTCTTTTTTTGTTTTTTGTTTTTTGGGGAGGAGGATAAGAAATATAATCTCATCATCAGGCAGTTTTTTNGATGAAGCTCCATATGGATACATCAGCAACACTGCACAACTACCACATTTAACTTGTCCAAACTAATCAGCTGATTGCATAACTTTTGCACACTATTGCATAAACAATGACTTGATTTTAAGTCCATTGGCACTTGTGGTTTAGTGCTGAAATATTGCACACTGCATATGGACCTTCGAAATTGCGTAACACATGAAAAAGAATTGATTGATTGACCCTAATCAACTCAAAAGATCAGGTGTACATATTTTATATTTCATGTTAGTTTAGATCACACATTATTTTGGGGTCATGCACTGCTTCTTTGAATGAAGTTCAATGCAACTGCAGTCTCTCTTTCTCCTTTTACATTGTTATCAAATTTTGGCAATACTTGCGCTAGGCGTACAGTATCATCACAAGATTACATGAAGTAAGAAAACCTACAACAATTTTGGAAAAGGCAAAAAGAGGAGAGAATGAGACCGAGAATGTTGCTTACTAGATACACTAAGTGAAAGAGGAAGAGAGAAGAACCTTGTAGCACAAAGTTGACTGTTTGACAGCATGAGCATTGAGCATGCCTGGCTCCTCGTGGATATTTAAGCAGGCGAAGGCAAGAACCACAAACCATTTGAGCTAATTCTGCATCACAATTAGATAGCTCATCAAGTGAGAAAACCTTTCACTATGTATAAAACCTGAGATGAAAGGATCTATGGAACATTCTTCTAAGGAATCTAAAGATCAACATAATACATGTAGGCACTATTGTAAAATTTCTAGTACAAGGGGTCGAATTTCTATATTAATTTGGTATAGCTGATCGGCTACACTCTGTTTGTTCCAATTTTTAAAAAAGAAATAGTATAGTTTTTTAATTGTTTTTAAAAGAAATAGTATAGCCGACCGGCTATACTCGATTTTTAAAAACTTTTTTAAAGAAATAGTATAGCCGCACGGCCATACTTGTTTTTTTATAATTTTTTTTATATAAAAGAAATGCTATGCAAAGCCTTGGCCACTGTTTTTAAAACATTTACACAAATTGCCATTGTATAGTCAATTCTAGGGGTGGGCATCAAAACCAAAATACCGAAACCGTCCCGAACCGTGCCCATCTCGTGCCGTCCCATTTGGTGTTGAAGTGTAAACAGGATGATACCATGTCATCCCATTACTATTTGGCACGACACCGGTTCTAAATTTGTGATCTCGTTTAGTGCCATAACGTACCGAACAGTACCGGGTAAATAATAAATCCCAATTTCAGTTTGTCCTCTCCCACGAACATTCGACTCGAGCTTTGTTTCCTCCGTCCTTTCCTTCCCTCTATCTATTCTTCTCTTCTCTTCTCCTTTCTCAGTCATCAATTTGAAGCCGTAATTCCCAAATCCTCCACCATCGATTGATCTCATCTCCTCCTCCTCCTCCTCCTCCTCCTCCTCTCTCTCTCTCTCTCTCTCTCTCTCTCTCTCTCTCTCACATTCATATACGAACATGTGTTGCATTTGTTGGATCTTAATTGTTTATTACTTTATAATGTTGCATTTGTGTATAAGAACATGTCTGGATTTTATTTTTGTGTGTAGAATATGCAAGTACTGAAGCTGCTGCCACCAATACAAACACATTAGGTTCAGATCCAAAGGGAAAGGGACATGCCAAGTAGCCTTGAATCTTGATTGTTCTGTTTTTTTGTTTCTTTTCTTGGTTTGTAATTTAATTTGCAATCATTAAGGGTTGTTAAGTTACTTTCATTTATAAATTGTAAGTTGTAACTATATGTGAGATTTCCATTTCTTGCTTTGTACTTAATTTGGCTTGATTTGCTTTGTAAAAGCCTATGTGGAATTTCCCCATTTCTTGCTTTGTAATTAATTTGACAGGTCGTGAACTTGAACTCTTGATTGATGGTTTGCTTTGTTTGTATTAGGCTTGATTTGTAAAAGCCTATGTGAGATTTGATTTCCAATTCACTTGAACTTTGTAAAACTCTTGAATGACTGTTTGTTTGTATTATGCTTGATTTGTAAAACTTTATAATTTTGTGTTATGCAAACAGGTTTTTTACGGTATAAAAAATGATACCGAATCATATCGGTCCCGTTTGGGGCTGGTATGGTTCGAATTTTTTTTTGAAAACCCCTCATCCCATCATGTCCCGTCCCAATGCCGTGTTATCCCTTACCATGCCCAAGCCTAGTCAATTCTCTGAATTTTATTAATTACTGCAATCAATAAATTAATATCACATTTCTACAATTAATTTATCAAACACTTTCAACCAGTGAATACCTTATGGTGAGGTATATATGTCTTTGGGTGGTTTGATTTACCGGCTTTGCAGGTTTGTGTATACCTCCTTCCTAGGTAATTTCATATCATATATCTCCTCCATAGGTAATTAACATTCATATGTATACCTCCTCCGTAGATAAATAGCATTCATATGTATACCTCCTCCATAGGTAATTTACCTATCCATACCTAATTAACATTTATGTATATTCCTAGTCAATTGATGATTATACCTCCTCCATAGGATTGTAAGAAGAAAAAGAAGAAAGAAGAAAGAAGAAAGAAGAAGATGAAGAAGATGAAGAAGAAAGATTATAGAAAATTTATTTATTTAGTTTTTGTATCAGCGCATGTTTATGGGATTTTCAAAATTAAAATGGATAGACACGAAAATATTTTATAATTCAAATCATAATTAACTAAAAGGTCAAATATAGTAATTATTGGCCTACAATTAATTTCTTACCCGTTTATGAATTGTAATCAGAATCAATAGTTGTATTAATTAGCTAATTATTATGATATAAATCAGTCTTTCCCGATTTAAATCATAAGGGCATAATTGGAACATGAAAATAAATTTTTTTTTAAAAAAAATGATTATATCATAAAATTAGAAAAGGAATATTCCAAAACAAGAGAGAATCAAGCAATCAAAGTATCTATACCAATGAAATCCTACGGATTTAGGGGGCCTCGAAAGGAAAGAATTGGACGCCCTATATGAACCTCACCAAACGAAGGTAGAGGAGACACATCATCAGACACACAAACCTATTTTTCGTCTTGCACTTTTCTTTCCATATACTTAGGATTTTACTTTTCAAGCATCTGGTGTAGCAAGTTCTTCCTTTTCCTAGTGCAAGTTTAATTCAATTTACATTTTCTTGTCTTTTATATTCATTATTTCAATTGCTTTACTTTTCATTGTTATCGTATTTTCATTAAGTTTAATTTAGTTTATTGTTCTTATCATTCTTATCGCTTTTATTTCGTTCTTGCTTTATTTATCGCTTTGATCTATCTTATCCCACTTTTATTCCTGTCTTTACGTTTAAGCGTACATTTAATTTAATTGCACTATTTTCACTAAAAAAAACCTAAAAATCACAAAAACATCCATACGAATCCTAACCATCCTCGAGCCTGATGAAGTGAAAGAACCTAGGCCAAGAGAAGGTTCCTTGCTTGGCTGATCAATCCCTTGATCAGAATTCAAAAGCGCAACATATCCATTCAAGCCCAAATTCGTGGCTTGGTGGTGGCAGTCCCCGCACTCAAAAGAAGAATGACCAAAAGTTCCTTCCGTCGGCCATCTCGGCCAAAAAGAGGGAAACATAATTTATACAAAACTCATTAATTACGCAGTTGCGCCCCTCACTTCGACTATAGATAGCTTGCCACTAGCTAGTTTCGGTCAAAATACATGCATGCAGGGACGAAGCTAGAATTGTAAAGTTAGGATGGCCGAAGTAGAAAATACAAGTATGTAAAATAACTAAGTATTCAATAATTACATGTTTATAGCTAAATATTTCTAATTTAGTTATGTCTAATATGTTTTCAAGGGAATTTTAACTTAAATTATAAGTACTTTAGGGAGATTGATGGTTCCACAACCTTTTGTTGGACTAAGATCAACAATTTTGACAACAACAGCTAGGTCATTTTTACAAGCTTGTGACGGACGATTTGTGGCTCCAACACATTTGACCAAGAAAGTATCACCGCACTCTGCTTCCTTTCTCCACAATAGCCTGCCTACAGCTGCAACCCAAATGCCTTTGTCTTCATTTTTGAAGCATGCAGAGGCTACAAAGGACAATCAATGGTTAAAATTAATCTAAGCTACACATTAAACCTTAACATAGTATTTACAGGGACGGACCCAGGATTTCAAATTGGGGTGGGCTAAATTTACATTATGCACAAACCTAGAAAACTCGACTCGAGTGAATTTCATTGATCACAAAAAAAATATATCCTAATCAAGAGGACATAATGAGTTTTACCCCATAAAATTCATCTAGTACATGTCTCTTTTTTGTTTTCTACGAGTA